AAGAAGTTACAAAATATATGTAAAAGTGAACTGAACATTTGAATGTTTTGAATTTAAAAATACTCTTTTATGTAGCTGGTTTCATAGTCTTCCACAGGCCACTTTTTTCATTTTTTCTATGCTACTGAATCTTCCTAAATCAATGATCACTAAAAGTAAACAAAGTCTTTCTAAAATAAAGATTGTTTAATATAAACTATGTAAACTGTAGTTGTTGCATTGAAGCCTAAACTCAATACCTAGCTCTGTTAAGCAAAACAAAGCAAAGCAAAGCAAACAAAACAAAAAAACCAACACAACCTGAAACTATTTTTTTCAACTCAAGAAAAGGTATCATCAGCAATGACTACTTAACTATATAACATCCATTTTCTTTCCCCCAGAAAATTATTGTGGTTTATATTATGTATATGTATATGTATATGTATATGTATATGTATGCAGATGAGATTCTGCCGAAACGTTGCTACAACTTTAAAAGCACAAGTACAACGACGTGGGAAAATACCCGAACAAAGCTGAATGCCATACATGTAAGTACCCGCGAAAACTTAAGAAAACAAATATGTATATGTATATATCTGCTCTGTTTTGAAGTAGCAATGTTTCACATACAAAGCAAAGTTATTAACCTCCGTGTAATTTTAAAATATTGATAGTAAATAGATTTTCATTTTTAGAGATAAGGATATTGTTTTAGTTGAAGGAACATTCTTTCAGTGAAAACAGTCATTGAATTGCTGTGTATAGCGTATAAGGAAGTAAGGCATTCCAGCCAAAATAGACAACAGCATTAGACACAACATCAGAGGAAGACACTACTTTCAAATTATAGAAGGAAAACACACTTAAAGATTGAATTTGTAATGAGAGGCAATTGACCAAAGGCTGATGTTTTTCATTTCTGCTCAAAAAATAGTTGCTGTTCCATTTGGCAGCGTAACAGTTGGGCTGTGCAGATAAGTACTAAGACTTAAATATAGAAGAGCTTCCATTGGAATAGGATTCAGTTTGAATATATGATTTGTAACAGTGTGTATAACATTTCTAAAACCAGTAACTTTGTATGGAATAAAATCAGGAATCATACTCACGGAATGCTCTATAGAATTCTTCCAGGCCAAGTTGCTTGTCACTATTATAATCATCATATTTCAAGAGATCAAAAAGAGAGCAGTCAGACATATCCTTGCCAAGTTCATCTTGTTTTATTACCTGACAAGAGAATTTGTAACCATGAAATTACACTGGAGCTCAAGGAGTTGAATTGTATAATTAAGTATTTCTAATATCATTTAATAGATCATATTAAAGATGCTGTAGGCCAGAGAACTAGAACTATGCAAAAGCAGAGGTTTCCAGTTCTTTTGTAATGATAAAGTTTGTCATTCAATAAATACACACACACACACACACACACACACACACACACACACAGAGGGGGGGAGGGAGGGGGCAAGGGAGGGAGGGAGAGAGAGAGAGAGAGATTTATACAATAGTTAAACAATAAGTACTAGAAGTATTCTGGATGGTTGAATCCCCTCCCATTTTCTCCCAAATTAATCCAGGTTTTATTTTTCCATATATAAAAAGAAACATTATATTTGTACAAGGAAAATGAGCAAGTCAATCTAAAAAGACATATCACAGACATAATTCAGTGTGTTTTTAGCTACTCCTGTTGCAGCCTATTCCAGCGTGTTCCAAACCTACAGTTTTTAAAATGAGTCTCCCCAGAGGATCAGATAACAGCAGCAATAAATCAAATCAATAAATCCTTTCCACCTATTCTCAGATATCAACAGCAGCTAGCTAAGCAATAACCCTTTACTTGCTGACTCTCAATACTACTTAATTACTTTAATACACTTATTACTTCATTATCTCAAAAGTTATAACTTTTCTACCTCAAGACCTATATCAATGATTAGATAGTGATGTCTCCAAATCAATTTCTATAAAATAATTAATTTTATCAATTGATTAATTGATTTATTGTTTTTATTGATTAGTGTGATTACAGCGTTTAGTGCATATGGTGTGATTACTGATCAGTGTAAATGATCGGTGATTCGTGTAAATTATTTGATTAGTAAAATCAGTGGTTTAGTGAATTTAATTGACCAGTGTGACTAGTGATTAATGTAATTAATTAGGCTGTTTGTTGCTTAGCAAAATTATTTGATTAGAGTGATTTGATTAATTGATAAATTGATTATTATAATAGATTAATTGGTATGATATTGGCTATATTGATTACCCAAATATCTTGTTTGATTAAGCAATTTGTCTAAAATAATTGATTTATCATCTATTAGTATAATAATTAATTTACCAATTCATTGAATCGATAGAGATTTAACAATGTATCATTGATTATCTAGTCGATTGATTGATTGATTTTTAGTAATAAGTAACCTTACTTCTGAATTACCAACATTCATTAAGTAACTGTCTACCTATCACATTAACTAGCTATTGTAATTGTTTAGTGTACTATTGTCATTGACCATGCCAGCCAAAAACTCCAAACCCTCCACTACCAAACAACAACAAAAGCATAATAATATCTCTACCAATGACCTCCCAGACTCCTGCACATGTTTCAGATGTCTTGAAACTATCAATGAAAGTGAAAATAACATCAAATGCCACTTATGCGACATTCAAGCCCACCTTGCCTATTTAAACTTAAACAAAAGCCTAGCTGATCTAAAAAAATCACATTCCTTACTCTATATCCATCATATTTTCCTAAGCTAAACAAACTGAGTACCCTGCCTGACAGAGTTGAAAGCACAGAATCATTCATTCACTCAATGGAAGAATGCTTAGCAAAGTTAAATTCACTACTAACATGGGCAACATCCTGCCCACAAGCTTTTATCTTTCTTGGTGACCTCAATCTACCTCATATTAACTGGACCCTAAATGAATGTAAAACTGAACTCATACATGCAACCTTCTACAATGCAGTAACAAATCTGGGACTAGAACAGCTAGTAAGTAACAATACTAGACTTAACTGCCTCGACCTCATCTTCTGCAATAGTTTGAATTCAATTTACGGAATACAAATTAAAGAACCCTTTTCCAACAGTGACCACAACATGATTGACTTTTGTCTCAAAATACGTCCACACAAAAATCATCATAATGATGGGATCCCCAATTATGACTTCAAAAAAGGCAACTATGATCTTATAGACAACGATCTCTCATCTGTTGATTGGCAACTTTTATTCACTGGATGCAATACTGTTGAAGACCATTACAACATATTTTTACTTGAAGTCAAAAGAGTCATCAAACTATATGTACCAATAACAACTCCCAAAACCAGAAAAAACAAATTACCCATAACAATAAGGAAGCTTCAATCCAAAAAGAGATCACTTTGGTGGAATGACCTTTGTAATCATATTCAGAGCAACTGTGTTCTCTTTGCTGATGATGTAAAGCTATTCAACACCACAGACAATACTGCTACCCTTCAAAAAGACCTCGACTATATATCAGAATGGTCAAACAAATAGCAACTTCAAATCTCAACAAATAAATGCTCTGTTTTACATATTGGCAAAAAAAAATCAGAAAATAAAATACAAGCTGAATAGTCAAGACCTTGCTGATGATCCAATCTCTGTAAAGGACCTTAGAGTACTCATCTCGAATGATCTAAGTGCTAGAACCCACTGTACATAGCCAAAAAGGCATTAATAGTTGTTAACCTAATCCTACGTAGCTTTTTCTTTGGTAACATCACACTACTAACTAGAGCATACAAAACATTTGTTAGACCAATACTTGAATACAGTCTGGAACCCACATTATGTATCTGATATTAACACAGTTAAGAAAGTCCAGAAATATTTCACAAGAAGAGTTCTCCATTCCTTTACTCGTTGCAGAATACCTTATGCCACCAGACTTGAAATTCTAGACCTAGAAAACCTAGAACTATACTGCCTTTGATCCGATGTAAGTTTAGTATATAAAATCATACTTTGCAATGTCCTACCTGTCAATGAATACTTCAACTTCAACCATAACAATACAAGAGCACACAATAGATACAAGCTCAAAGTAAACCACACCAAACTTGATTGCAGGAAATATGACTTCAGCAACAGAGTGGTCAATGTCTGGAATACTCTACCTGACTCTGTGGTTTCTTCCCCAAACCCCCAAAACTTTAACCTTAGACTTTCTACTACTGACCTCACCCCTTTCCAAAGAGGTCTGTAGGGGGCGTGCATAAGCGCACCAACGTGTCTACCATCCCTGTCCTATTGTTTCTTTTTTATTTTTCTTATATGTATCCATTTCATGTATTCATAACTATTCATTACCTGTTATCTTATAATCACTTGACAAAAATAAATAAAATAAAAAATAAATATTCATATTCTTTTCTTGACAACATTCCAAAAGTGGTTTGTCACTTCCCGTGCTCTTCTTCTTTGTTCATCCCCTCGCCCTTTCAGTCTAATCTGTAGTTCTGGTATTCTTTGGTACTGTTTCCTCTAAAGATTGAGGAGGCTTAACTTAGCTTTCAAACAATATTGCCATTTATAAAATGCCTATATTTGTCAGGAAAAAAAACAGGTCAAACCATATATTTCATTTGAATTTTTTATTCCTTTTGATTTTGATTTTTCTATTTGAATCAGAAAATCAGTATAGGTTATGTGAGTTGTAAAATCAAACTGTTTTGATTTTGATTTTCACAAGAAAACCTTTACATGTGGAGATTATTAGTCTGAAAATTTCTTTTTCAAACAATATATTTTTGATTACAAACTTACCATTCCAAAACAATGGCAGAAAGAAATTTCTAAATGAGCTCGGCAATTTTTTTTTTTTTAAAAAAAATCTTATAATTAAGTTCAAAGTTCTGCCTGATGCTAAAGAGAGAGTGTATTTTAAAAGTGTACTTTGAAGCATGCTACTTAGCTTTGTTAGAGGAATAAAAGGTTATTGTATGGGGAAGGCAGTGGTGGGATTCAGCCAGTTTGCACCACTTTGGGAGAACCGGTTGTTAACTTTCTCAGCCGTTTTGTGAACTGATTGTTGGAAAAAGTCATTAGGGCAGGAACCGGTTGTTAAATTATTTGAATCCCACCACTGGTGGAAGGGCATTGTTAATTGGTCAGTATCATAAAATGACAAGCAGTCTCTTAGTCTCATTAAATACAGTATTTATATTTATCCATTTCCCAGGCACCTTTTAAACATAAAAAATATTTTTAGAGACAATCAGCCAGTCACAAAGATTGTCAATCTTTCAGCTGGTTATAAGCAGAAAAAGCAATTACCATACTTACATTAGTTCTGTTTATCAAATATAAAGGCATGTCAGCAAAAAATAATGCAATAAAGAATGCCAGTACTTTTAGTTTACTACAGATATCTCATATTATAGCAATTCAGGCTCGTTTATATAAGCATGCAAATCTACCTTCTCAAGAGGCAGATTGTGTTCAATGATTTGCCATGGTATGAAAAAAGAGGAAATGCAGATCACAAAATGTTGTTTCTGTAGAGTTCAAAAGGACCACTGAGATTTTGCAACTTTGATTCAGAGTGATTGTCTTGTCTGTTTAGCATTGCCTCATTAATAGAGAGCATGGAACTGCTAACATGGATAAATCTGTATTATTATTATTTTATTATTTATTATATTATTATTGTTTTATTATTTACTGATCACTTGAGGCAGAAACCAGAGGTGGTATTCAGCAGGTTCTGACCAGTTCTGGAGAACCAGTAGCGGAAATTTTGAGTAATTCGGAGAACCAGCAAATACCACCTCTGACTAGAGATTTTACAGTATACTTCCACTGCCACACTCCCCAAGCCATGTCCACAGAACCAGTAGTAAAAAAAAAAATGAATCCCACCACTGGCAGAAACCAACTGGAGACATGGATGTACCACTTCCTCTCTGACAGACCTAAGTCTACCCTCAGTTTCAAACCTTGCAGTAGCAAGACTTCAAGACAATTCAACTTGTATTCATGTGAATATAAAGATTCCCATATTATTATAAATTCTGATTAAGTGATCCAGAGAAGCTGTCTTTCCTTTCTTCCAGAGGTTCACTGCATATTACAATGTGTTGCTAAAGATCACTGTGGGGTTTGGGGGAGACTAGAAAATAATATCCATAAAAAATAATGCTTAGACTTCCAGATTTTCTGGCACTTAGTATCCATGAAAATCATCCAGTACATAAAACAATGCAGGCCTTATTACTGAACTGAATTCATGATCAGTAAATTAAAATACTATGATTTTCCCATCAAGTCCTCCAAGAATCCACCTCAGAGCATTAAACAGTTCACATTTGGCACTATAATAATGAAAACAGGAATTATATCTGCTTCTGTGTCAGAAAGCATGCAAAACTATTTGTCATAATAAACATTTGTAACACAGAAACATTTGCCATACAATAATGGGAATGATTATTACTGCTAAAGGTTGGATTCTAGGACATCTAAACATGCCCTGACTGTATACTAATTAATCATATTATAAAATATTAGAGTGGTTTTATTTTAGCTTTACATCTAACTGGATAAGATGACAGGGATCATATTACTTACACCATATAATTCAGAATGCATATTAACTAATTTCTTTTTTTTAAATTTACTTTATTGATTTTACAATTAAAATAGACCAACAACAATGCAGAGAGAAAAAGAAAACAAGAAAAAGAAGAATAGAAAGAAAAAGATAGAAAACAATTAAAAACATTTTCATCTTCAACAGTTTGTGAGACCTCCTTTTTATTATTTTATTATTGTATTAACTACTTTCTTAATAGAGTTTGCTTGTAATAAATTAATTTGTGATTATCACAAATAAGTTAAAAGGCAACATGACTTTTAGTAACAAAACAAATGTGAATCCAGATTTTGGGTTCATCAGGATTTGATTATCAGAACCTAACAGCCAAAATGCATTCAAAAATCCACAAAATCAGTTGGTAGATTAAATTAAACAATGTTCCATAAGTTGGCATTGGTTTTATGTGGTATGATATCTGTCTCCGAATCTGTTGTCCAATAAATAAGTAGCTCAATTTGGCCTTAATTGACCTAAATTAGTTTAGGACTGAACAGCAGGCACTAAATTTTTTATCAGTTGTCTTAATGCCCTGAACACTAATTTGAACTCTTTACCTTATAATGCAGTTCTCTTTTAACATGCTTTTGCTACCTCTTTTTTTTTTTTTGTACTTTACTTTGTACTTGTAGTTTATTTTCCAAAGGAAGAATTATATAACTTTTCTGATCATTCCTTGTTAAATGTAGCACTTATACTGCAGATGATATAATAGCTTGATTATCTGTAGCTGCAGATATTTTTTTCTAGGCCCAGGAGAAGGGTGTCAGATTTGCTTTGACAAAAAGGTTTTTTTTTCTTCATACAGATGAAAAGGCAACCCAATTTGTTTCAGTCAGATGCTTTGTATTGCTTTGAAAGCTAAACTGGCACTTCCAATTTCACACATGCATTATACATGAAAGAAGCACCTAATAATCAGTAGTGTCAGTGGGAGTATGTGAAGCACAGCCATATTGTTTTTCCACTTCACTCTTCCAAGTGAGATGGCCACACTGCTTCATGAAACAACTCCAAAGGGTTACTTCACTCAAACCTTTTTCCTAAGTGTTTTCCCCTTTAAGAAGTCTGTGAAATCCCAATATCCAGTACTTCCTACTACAATTTCAACCTGAGATCTTCAGGATTACTTAATACTGTAACATTTTAAGTCTAATTTGAAGTTATTTTGCCAATGGTGGTTCTTTTTCTATTGGTTACTATTTCTTCCATAAATATTTATTTTCATTAAGTATTTTTCATTATTTATTTAACAGGAGACTCTTCTGCAGTCAGACTCCTAGTGGCTAATAGCAGTTCATTTTTTTTAAAAAAAAATCATATTTATTGCTTAAATACAATCACAAAGAAGAAGAAAAACAAATTTTATGAACAAAATATAAAGACAGAAAAAAATAAAACAATAATAAAACAACAAATAGGGGGAGCTCTCAATCATCTCTTAATAGCAAGAATCTATCATTTAAATGCTCATGAAAGAACTTTATGACTTCAACACTTTCAAAAATGATAAAGGAAAAGATACCATTCAAATAATGGAGGTATTCATTTCATTTTTAAAGGTAGACCTATTATTGTCTATTCCAAAAATTCTATTCTGACTATTGATGAATGAACTAGATAGGGTGAATCCTGCTACAGTCCAAAGTGTATTTAGGTGACCATCCATGAAAACAATCATGAATTGTAATTTAAATCTTAATAATAGCAAATGCAGCATCTGCAACATTGGTGTTAAATGCAGCATCTGCAACATTGGTATTATATCCACTAATAAATGTAATTCTACATTTTTTTCACCAATTAAAACTATTCTTCAGTGGCAAGCCCATATAAAGTACAACTGATATCTCTATATAGCCTTTCAATAGATTGGGAAGAAAGATAATCTATTCTTTAAAATGTACAGAGTTAGGCAGCATATAAAGGTAATAAATTAAATTATTAAAGAGTTAACAATTTTGCTCATTTGAAGAGATTCTTTGTAAAATGAGATAATTTGATGTGCAATCCAAAAGGAAATGTATTAAGTAGTAAACCTTGATAACTTTCAAGGTTTTTGATGTTGTTGTTTATTTTGCATAATTTGAACATATTCTTAATTTGATGCATGCAAATAAGTTCAGAGTTGTGATTTAGGCATGTCACATAATTCATAAAGACTGCCTTCATAAGATGAAGAAGAATAGTTTTTCAGACAAACTTAACTGATTTTGCCATCTACTCTTTTGAGGTTCACTAAAGGGTATTATCAATAGATACATTCTGATTTCTGGCATCTTTTAAAGTGCAGCAATTAAAACCCTTACTATAAGTGAGTAGAACTTACTATAAGTGAGTAGAAAAATATTCATATGATAAATATAAGAATGGCAATCAACACCCATAATTATGTAGGGAACTCAGAAGAATTTCAGTAATTTGTCATAAACCAGGATATACATAATATATTGGTATTGTTACTATCCAATCATTTGAAAGAGGAGGATACATCTAAAAACCTTGGCAATTCATTCTTCAATAAGGAATTTTTTTTAAAAAAGAAGACAAGGTATAAATTGTTAAGCTTGGGAGAAGTGAGATTCATTTAGAGAATGAAATGGGTTTGTATTGGGCTTACATGTGAGAAACAGTTAACTTATCTCTTTTATTCATTGCTTAAAAATTATTTTTTTAATGAACGTTATTCCATGTATAGGTCTTCAGCAGTTGAAGATGAAGAAGAAAAGCTAATTAAATAGAGATTTTTCACGATGGAAAGCGCTAACACAGGAATGTCAACTACCCAGTGACCACAGGACCAAAGTTATACACAGTCCTAAATCAGGAATGTAACCATTCATATAGCTCTAACAGTTAAATGGAATAACCCTAAGAAGATAACAATGACTGCAACATGCTTTTACTATATTTTGTTCCTGAACCAGATTGGGCATACAGCTCCCTTTTTTTAAAAAAAATTTGTGTTGTTTGGAATATGAACAAAATAGGATGTTATTCTATGTAATCTATGTCAAGTTTATTTTAAAGTTTATATTTTGAGCAGGGACCTATAAAACTTTGCATATTTTTTAATTTCCTCTTCCAGGATAAGAGTATTTAGACAAAAAGATATTCAGATGAACTAGTCTGCTTTTCCCCCTTCCCAGAAAATAAGCAGTAATATATTTAAAACTCTTCACGTGATAGACCCATATAACAGCTCTGCCAGTGCTATGGTTTCATAATAATGTTCTTGCTCTGAAGCAGTAGGACAGAATTCTAAAGAACAATTGCTTGACTCTGTTATATCTAAATTTACCTGCAGCACTCAGCAAATAGTTCTCATGCCTGACTTTTAGCATTACTACTTATTTTACAATTTATTCTGTTTGTATACTACTGCCAATCATGTGAAATAATATATTGGATTTGTAGTTCATACCCTTGGGCAGAGGTGGAATGACTATTATTTGTTTGAGGAAATAAAGATGGATTTATTCTCCAGTGCCTTCAGTGAATTAATTATCTATAGGACTTTCCATTGCTTATGCAATCAGAAATTTGTATAGATCTATTTGCTCCCATCAAAGACACAAGAGCCCTGATTAAATTCCCATAAAGACATTTAATGAACAGAAAAATGCACATGAGGAAAAATATATTTTTCAAAATGTTCAAATAATAATTGGAACTGATTCAAAAAAATTCTATAATTAAATGTATTATTCTGAATCAAAACATAGTTTCAGATTTTGGCTTGTTTTCATATCATAGTTTAAACTATATTGACTCAAAATGGAACTAGATTCTTGCCTGGCATGTTAGATACAATTCCTATAATCTGTAGGAATACAATGGACCACTGTGGTTAATTTAAAAATGACACTGGAAACTTTTGGGAAAGTAAGTAATGTTAATAAATATTAGCAAATAAGTAGCATCATTTCTCACATTCTATGCACATATTTATCCGTTATAGGAATAATATGAACTATATTCTTTCATAGTGCATTTGGGATAATGTCTGAATCGGTTACCGTCATATATGCCAATTTATATAATCCTTTAACAGAAAGAAGATTAATAAAATCAGTGTGTAAGTTCTCACACATTACACATACATCGATAATACTAGACTGAATTTCCCATAGCTGATTTACTAATACACCGAAGCACTTTTCACTCAAAATAAAATGAAAGAAACAAAACTCCAGAAAAGTCTAAACTGCCATAGCACAAAATGAACAAAGATAATTGTTTATAGTCAAAGATAATTGATTAACTCAAAGTTAATCGCACCAAACTTCATTGCAGGAAATACGACTTTAGCAACAGAGTGGTCAATGTCTGGAATACTCTACCTGACTCTGGTTTCTTCCCCAAAAACTTTAACCTTAGACTGTCTACTATTGACCTCACCCCTTTCCTAAGAGGTCTGTAGGGTGTGTGCATAAGCACATGAACGTGTCTACCGTCCCTGTCCTATTGTTTCTTTTTATTTTTCTTAAAAGTATCCATCTCATGTATTCATAACTATGTTTATACTTATACCTGTTATCTTATAATCGCTTGACTAAATAAACAAATAAATAATCGTGACAAATGATCATTAATTATGTTTTTAGTTGTGTGCGCCTGAATGTTTTTGCATGAGATGCAGGGAACATTATATTTGTCATATCTATATTTTATGTTTACTTTAAATTTGAAATGCTACTGTGAAAAAGCTATAAAATGCAAGCATGTCAATGGTTTTATGATATTCTATGCAACTATCAGTGAGAAAAGTGACTAATTAAAACAGAGCTCTTAATTAATGCAAACTTTACCATGTTATTTATTTTGTTATGTTCTCAATTAAACCTTAGAAGACCAAAATCTCAACAGTTTCATTTGAGTTTCTTACTGAGACATTTCAATTTTCCAATGTTTTAGTTTATCAATCATTCTTAATATGAAAAGTAATATTTTGTTTTGTTAAGTTTCCACAGAAATAGTGCTCCAATAATAAGATAGTAACAGATGTTACTAATCTCACTTGGCAAAGTCATTTTTTTCTTTACTGTTTCATATTTAAAATTTGTAGCAATGAATAGATAATATAATCACTTACCTGTGTTAGTTCATTGCTATCTACAAGTCCATTGTTGTCTGAATCATAATATTTAAACAACTGATCCACCAATAATTTCTTCAAAGCCATGTTATCTTCAGTAATGCTTTCTTTTGTTTGTAGAATATATTTTCTGTTCTGTAGATCCAGCAGGAAATTTTTCATCTTGTTGTAATCAATAGAATTGCAGTTGTCCCCTGTCAAAACAATATCATGCTTAATGGTAATCACACCACTTTTTAAAAAGAACAGTTTTGTTTCAGTTTCTTTTAGCACAAATATTACAGTTAGATCCTGATTCGTAAACATGCTTAAATATTTTCAGTTCAATATTATGAGACAGAAATTAAAACGAAGATAGAGTCTCTTGGCAGTCTGATAGTCAGCATATACTTTTAAAACATAAAATAAAATAGATAATATGACTGCTCTAATCAGGTTTAAAATCTGAATTGCATTTACAAATTTGGATGTTCCAGGATCCAATATGTCCAGTCAGAAGCTCAACAGAGCCCAGGGATATTGTAAGCTAGAACAATTTAAAAATTGATCCAGAATTTAATTGACACCCAGAAACATAAATAATAATAGAAGGTCAAACTGCATCCATATTTAAAGAATTAGAGATTAAATTACATCATGTCACCCATCATATCAGAAATTTAACAGTGCCAGGTTGTTGTTGTTGTTTACTGTGTTTAGTTTTATAGTTTTACTACAGTATTTATGCTGTTTTAACTCTTGATTGGGAGCCACCCAAAGTTGGGTGGCTATAAAGTGTTTTAAATAAAAAATGAAATGCATAAAATAACTTCATCTTTTCAAAAAGACTGTATTTTTTCAGGTTGAATTGGAACAATAATGCTCACTAAACATGTGGCAGGGATTTTAAAAATTGGTAGTATTGACATTAAACTTTTTGCTTAAATTATTTCAAAGAGAAAAAATAGAAATATCTTACCTAAAACTAATCAATAAAGTCCATTTTGTTAACAAAACAGAAATTACCCTTGTACAGACAAATGGATGGTAAATTAATTGTGATTGATAGTAACTAATTTTGGACCACAGTGATTATCAGATAATTTTGTAAATTTGTAATTTTGCTAAATGGATATTTGGTCACCAAATATAGCTATTTCGCTTAATGTTTTAGTTGTACATCACTCAGAGTCATTCTGTGAGTGATAAGGATGGTTTTCAAATTTTATATATAAATAAATGTGCAAAAAAAATAGCACCATTGGGAAATTACTTCTGTTAAATGTTTAAACTCAGTTTTAGAGCTATAGTTCCTATAGATCTAAAGACCATAGACGAGTTTAATCTGCAGATATTAAGGAAGCTTATGCTTAAGAAAATAATTCATGGGTAAGTTCTTTATGATGGTCATTTTTTACAGTGGACTACATATTTACAATTTAGAGCAGAATCTCACAGAATCCTTATGGTCTTAACATGAAAAGTAAAGTGGACCAGACCAATAGCAATAGCACTTAGACATTATACCGGTCCATACTGCTTTACAGCACTCTGAATGGTTTCAATGTCAGCATCTTGTGTCCAACATTCTGGGTCCTCATTTTATCAATCTCAAAAGGATGGAAGGCTGAGTCAACCTTGAGCTGGTCACAGTCAAACTCCTGGTAGTGGGCAGAGTTAGCCTAGAATAGTGCATTCTAACCACTGCATCACCATGGCTCTTGCCGCTGAGGGAAGTGGACTTCAATTTTATTGAGGAAATACCATAATAATTTAATATGCAGGACCTAATGCCAAGTGCTTGTTATGCCCGTTGGAATCTGATTCGGAAGGGTAGGCCGAGCAGCTGACAGGGAGTGGGAGTGTGGCTCCGTTGGCTGTGGAAAAAACTGGGGAAGGGCAAAGTCCAGCTGGGCAGAGCAGGGAAGAGGCAGAGCAAGGGAGAAGGAATTTGGAGGAAGACCCAGGCCCACCCCCTCTTCATCCTAGGGCATGCAGGGAGGAACGGAGAAGGGAGCAATGTGAGTTGCATGGCTTACGGGGGAGGAAAGGGGCCTGATTCTCTTTATTAACTGCAGCTGGGAACACAGTGTTTTAAAATGGAAGCTGCACATAGCAAGTTGTTGGGAGCAAATCATGAATTATCTTGTATCGTTGAGGCTTATCTGTGTTCCTGCTGTCCTCCCAACTGTGTATTTTTTGCTGTGCTTTCAGGTTTGCAATTCCTTCTCCTGCCCTGTCAAGTTAATTACTGCAGCGTCGTTTGTTTGGATTTTTAGTTACAGTTTGTATGTACTTTGTTTTCAGACTGAATTTCTTCCACTTAAAGACTGTTCCTGGGAGAGTTTTTGTCTAGGTGAAGGTAATCTGGACATTGGGGGCAAAGTTGGAGATAATAAAGGGACTCTTCTTGCTTATTTGACTGTGTTGCCTTTGTGCCATGCCCCGGGTCATCACAGTGCTTTACCAAGCTGTCCATGATATTACTACAGCATCATTTATGAGAGAAAAAGAAAGACCACCTCCCTAAGTTCACTGAATCGGTTATTCAAGAACATGGGAAATGTTTTTCAGGTCCAGAGGATAAACCTATAACATTGGTGTTACATTTTATGTAATGCTTCCATCTATGTGAGGTAAGAACTGCTTTTTATGCTTGTTGGACTTGCAAACAAAACAGATTTATGAGCGGCCTCTGAAACCATTTTCCCATGGATTTACAGTGATTTCTATGCACACAAGACATGAGACTTTGAACATGGGGCTGGTCTTCTTCTACTTTCTCTCTTTTGAAGATCTAAAATTTAGAAGACAGTTGTTGACAAGAGTTACCACACTTCTATTCCAAGGGGCAAGAATTAGGCTGTGAAGACTTAGAACGGTTTTTGTGAGTTGAATTTTGACACTTCTTCCACTATAAACTTAGTCATGGATTTACAGAAGGTTTTTTTTTTAAAAAAAATAATTAGTATTGTTACATAATTGTGCTGCATACAAAAAGGTTTGTTGGGATATCTTTTCTTTCAAGCAAGACTTGCAAATGATCTCTAGCAGCCAATAATATTTTTTTAAAAATAGCAGTGCAATATTAAAAGATGCTCTTGCCATTGAATCTGTATCCTCCATATATTCCAAAGATAAGACTATATAGCTCAGAATGCCTTTTGATCAGTGCTATGCAAATGTCAGGCTGTTTACCAAGAAAGTTAGAAAGAAAATAAAGTAAGATTAAAATATGTTGTTCAAGAATCAGTTTTGTGGTTTTAAAATATTATTTGCATAATCCTGGACTGTGTTTTTATGAAATCAATTGGTCCTACTTTGATTTTTTTTCCCCCCAGGCTGTAAGCATTTGATTGAATCCCTTTGTTGGGAGTCATGAAGTTCTGATCAGTAAGACTATTAATGGCATGTCAATTTAATGGTTTTAAAACTGGCTTGAAAATTCTATACATTGAGTGTTCATTTCTGATTTTTCATGAGAAGCCGTCTTGAGCTCTATAATCTTCAACATATTTATCAATGACTTGGATGTGGAGGTTAAGGTAGTGTTTCTCAAATCTGTGGATGACACACAATTGAGTGGGATAGTTACCTAGAAGTCATTAATAAAATTCAAAACAATTTTGATAGATTGGATAAATAGGACAAAAATAACAGAATCAAATTCAAAAGAGATAAGCATGTGTTTTTTCACTTTGCTCTCAGCAAACAAATACACAGGTGAGAATGATTACTACGTAGCTTAGTAATGATACTTGGAAAAAAAAAACCCTCTTTGGAATAAAAATTGATTTAGAACTGCATATAAATTAAAGTTAATGTGACTGCAGTAACAAGAAATTCAATTTGAGGGTATACATCTATATATTGGTTCCAATTTTTTTTACTTTATGATGATTACTGTATTGTGCACAATTATTGGTGTCTCATATGAAAAAGGATGTAGACAAACTTGAATGTAGTTAAATGACGGCAAGAAATTCATTTGTTCATAATGTTATAATTAGTATTCCACAACTGAGAAGATGGTTAGGCTGTATAAAATTTGAGCAGCCCAAAATAAATCTATGACTCAGTAAATCCTAAAGCCATTACATCAATTGCACCATACTCTTCGAGAATAAACAAACTTAGTCAAATAAGCTTGTTAATAAAACAGTGTATAATACAAGTCATAAGGTTACTTTAGGAAAAGTATGCTTTTAAACCTGATTCTCATCCAAGTAGTAATTAATATGCCACCTCTATGATATAAGCGCTTACAGGATGGTTAGATTCAAGCCATAGCAGGTGGTATTGAATTGCACTTGGAAGCAATTTAGCAGCTCTTATAGTAGCAGTGTCGACATGGATGAATCTAACTGCCAGACTGCCACATGCTGTAGCAGCTGAAATTTCTGGACAGTCTTCAAGTACAGCCCATTCACAATAAATTACAATGTTTACACCTGCAAATTAACAAGGGCATTCCTGATTCCAGAATGCCTGCAATTGTCACAGCAGATCTAATTGTACAATTCAGCTTCTACCTGTTGTTCAGATAAGAGCTGTGAGACCAGAAGGAACTCCAAACTGTGA